TAGAGCCCTCTAGTCCCAACCTAAGCAGAGCTTGTGTAATAATTATTAGACAACTGATATAAACATAGATATATTTTTGTAAATACGTACGTAATACATAGAAAATACTCAGACCGATACAAACAATCATAGTCATAAATACAAATGTTTGTGCCGTGGGAGAAATCGAATGAGCGACCACCGGAAGTTAAACGGCAGTATGCTAAATCGCTAGATAAAAGATATATTTTGCTGTTGTCATTATATATACATACTATCTGTCCCCACGCCGCAAACGTTGTGTTGCCATATAAATTAAAATCGCTATTAATAAATAGGGGTTGAAGTTAGAAGCGAGAAAATTTGGGGTTGTGTGGTTTTTTAATAAAAAAGAAAATATTATAAAAAAAATTTGAAAATTGTGCAAAATTTAAAAAAAATGTAAGGGGTCCACCTCTAACCCTTTACCATAAGCCCTAACCATTTAGGGGTACGAAAAATAGATTCTCAGATCTACTAAATATGCACATACAATTTCATAATAATCGGTCAACCCGTTTTGGAGGAGTATAGTAACTAACTGTGACACGAGAATTTTATATATAAAATTATATACGACACAAAGTCGCCGGCACAGCTAATAAATAAAAAAACCTAAATTTTAATTCTGTAACTAATAATATGGATCAACATTTATCTCTCTTATTTGTTCACTAAAGTTCTAACATAAACCAAACTTGGCAAGTTACTCACTAACTTTGAGAGCGTGCAGATGCATTTCATTGCAACTGCTGTCGTGATAATCCGAGTTTATGGTTTGTCTATACTTACATTAGTTGGAACTGGAATCACAGACTACTAATCACATTTGATGGATCACAGACTATAAATTATATAGTACATGTAGTGAAATCGAAGATAACAAAGTGCCAATTTTGATTTACGGCAAAATGTTAGTCGAGTAAGATAGTAGATAAATAAAATGCATAACAAGCAAGTTTCTTGCTCGTTCTTCTTGTGATGAGACAGCTTTCCGAATGAGCGGTAGATTAAAAGAAGATCACTGTGACTATTGAAAAGTGTTTAAATTAAGTTTATTTCAATAAATTATTTTTTATTTTATGTTATTCTATAAATTTTTGTTTCTTCTCTTACGTTTGGGGTAGACTTTGAACAAAGTCATCAGTTTGATTACTCTCTCTTACCTACTTCACCCGTCGTGTACTTATTTTGATAAGGCTTACTTTCCGGTGTAGACTTTGAACAAAGTCATCTTTTTGATTACTCTCTCTTACCTATTTCACCCGTCATGTACTTAGCTTGATAAGGCTTACTTTCCGGTGTAGACTTTGAACAAAGTCATCTGTTTGATTACTCTCTCTTACCTATTTCACTCGCTACGTACTTAGCTTGATAAGGCTTACTTTCCGGTGTAGACTTTGAACAAAGTCATCAGTTTGATTACTCTCTCTTACCTATTTCACCCGTCATGTACTTAGCTTGATAAGGCTTACTTTCCGGTGTAGACTTTGAACAAAGTCATCTGTTTGATTACTCTCTCTTACCTATTTCACTCGCTACGTACTTAGCTTGATAAGTCTTACTTTCCGGTGTAGACTTTGAACAAAGTCATCAGTTTGATTACTCTCTCTTACCTATTTCAATCGCTACGTACTTAGCTTGATAAGGCTTACTGTAGACTTTGATAAGGATTACTCTCTCTTACTATTTCACCCGTCGGTGTAAGACTTTGAAGAAAGTCATCTGTTTGATTACTCTCTCTTACCTATTTCACTCGCTACGTACTTAGCTTGATAAGGCTTACTTTTCGGTGTAGACTTTGAACAAAGTCATCTGTTTGATTACTCTCTCTTACCTATTTCACCCGTCGTGTACTTAGCTTGATAAGGCTTACTTTCCGGTGTAGACTTTGAACAAAGTCATCTGTTTGATTACTCTCTCTTACCTATTTCACCCGTCATGGACTTAGCTTGATAAGGTTTACTTTCCGGTGTAGACTTTGAACAAAGTCATCTTTTTGATTACTCTCTCTTACCTATTTCACTCGCTACGTACTTAGCTTGATAAGGCTTACTTTCCGGTGTAGACTTTGAACAAAGTCATCTGTTTGATTACTCTCTCTTACCTATTTCACCCGTCGTGTACTTAGCTTGATAAGGCTTACTTTCCGGTGTAGACTTTGAACAAAGTCATCTGTTTGATTACTCTCTCTTAGCTATTTCACTCGTTACGTACTTAGCTTGATAAGGCTTACTTTCCGGTGTAGACTTTGAACAAAGTCAACTGTTTGGTTACTCTCTCTTACCTATTGCACCCGTCGTGTACTTAGCTTGATAAGGTTTACTTTCCGGTGTAGACTTTGAACAAAGTCATCAGTTTGATTACTCTCTCTTACCTATTTCACCCGTCGTGTACTTAGCTTGATAAGGCTTACTTTCCGGTGTAGACTTTGAACAAAGTCATCTGTTTGATTACTCTCTTTTACCTATTTCACTCGCTACGTACTTAGCTTGATAAGGCTTTTTCCTCTTGAAGGCTTAGATAAGGCAGTCAAGATACAGGGTTTGGGGCGTGAATCTTAATTCTCCGGAGCGGCAACGAGAAGGAAGCATTTGTTTGTTGTTACCTGTAGATTTATATGGGCACTAGATTTTGTCCGCGGCTTCGCTCGCGTTAATTTATCCCCTTAGAGGTGGAATTTATGAAAATTCTTTCTTAGAGAATACCTACGTCATAGCAGCTTTATGCATGCAAAGTCTCAGCCCGATCGGTTTAAAATTTACAAAGTTTCATATAAACTTTTATCCCCTTGGAGGTAGAATTAATCAAAATTCTTTCTTAGCGGATGGCTACGTCATAACATCTACCTGCTTGTCAAATTTCAGCCCGATCCGTCCAGTGGTTTGGGCTGTACGTTGATAGATCACTATGTCAGACACCTTTGAGTTATATATATTTAGATTAAAGACGGGGACAATAATCTCTCTCTCTCTCTCTCTCTCTCTCTCTCTCTCTCTCTCTCTCTCTCTCTCTCTCTCTTCCCAGCTAAGTATCCCACATGGTGGTGGGGTCAGTTTGTGTCACGGGGATAATAATATAATAATAAATAATAATATCTCAAGACAATTCACACAGCGCCATCTACTCTCAAACTAAGCAGAGATTTTTTATGGGTATTGACACAAATACATAAATACTTTTTAAAAAACATATACATTATATATAGAAAACTTCTAGACCGTTTATGCCGTGCAAGGAATCGAACCTGCGACCTTCGGATGTAAACCGCTAGACCACCCAGGTCATCATAAATGAAACTATTATCTATCTATTTAATTACTCTAACGCCATTTATAGATTTCCAAGTTATTACAAATAATAGAACTATTTTAAGGTTAAGTATCTTGGAACATGAATAATGTCTTAATTTAGAAATTGCTAGATCAATGTTTAATAACTTAACCATGAGCTTCTCTTACAATATATAATAATAATAATTAAATAAAATAAATAAACAAATAAATCCGGGGGTAAGTTGCTATCTCCTCTCCTTAAGATGAGAATTTTTGTATAATGATGATAATAATAATAATAATCTCAGGACAATTCACACAGCGTCATCTAGTCCCAAGTTAGGCCAGCTAAAGCTTGTGTTACGGGTACTAGATAACTGATACAAGTACATAGATAATTTTTTTCGTAAATACATACATATTATACATAGAAAACACCCAGACCGATACAAACAATCATACTCATGAATACAAATGTTTGTGCCGTGCGAGGAATCGAACCCGCGACCATCGGACGTAAAGCTGTGTGCTAGACTGCTAGACCACCGAGTTCGTCAAATTGATATGGCGTAACTTGGCTACTCCATTGAAATTCAAACTTAATTTATGCAGACGGTAAATCAAACATATAACATGAGAAGAAACGAGTTTCAATGAGTAATTAATTAACTCTACGCATATAATTGAGATTAAATTAAATTCATTTAATGCAATATATGAGGCGGTTTGAAATTTACGACATCAGTTGCTTATTTTCCGATCGTCGTGAGTTCGATTCTCGAACTTTACAACCATTTTGTATATTGCACATAGAATATATATATGTTATAGTGTTATATTGTCTACAGTGTCAATTGTTGAAAGGTATTTAACTCTTTCGCTAGGGCAACCTAGTCGAAACGTCTAGAGTGGTAAATACCTTTATTTACCAATATTATTCGTGTTAAAACCCGTTTAATTATAATAATAATAATTTCTGGACAATTCACGCAGCGCCATCTAGTCCCAAGTTAAACGATCTAAAACTTGTGTTACGTGTACTAGATACAAACAATCATACTCATGAATAAAAATGTTTGTGCCGTGCGAAGATCGAACCCGCGACCATCAGACGTAAAGTGGTGTGCTAGTCCGCTAGACCACCGAACTCGTGATATTTATATTAATAATGTATAAAACGAGAAAATTTAAAAATAATATTGTGTACCAGTTGAGTTTCTTGCCAGTTCTGCTCAACTGGAGTAGCTACCCAAACTAGATGGTAGGGGCAGTAATAAAAATTGTCTTTCATAAAAAAGCGAAAACGTCCTATTTGAATAAATAATTTTTAATTCGACTTTGAAATCGAGTGCATTGTAAAATAAATGTAAACTTCATATTTTTTAATGTATAACGTTTTATGGCTCTGGATACTAATAAAAATAATAATATGCTCAGGACAATTCCCACAGCGCCATCTAGACCCAAGTTAAGCTAGCTAAAGCTTGTGTTATGGGTACTAAATAACTGATACATATACATAGATATATATTTTTTTGTAAATGCCTACATATTATACATAGAAAACACCCAGACCGACACAAACAATCATACTCATGAATACTAATGTTTGTACCGTGCGAGGAATCGACACCGCGACCATAGGTCGTCTAGCGTCTATATTAGTCCTTATGACCTCTACCTTAGCACTAAATTTTATTGTTTCAGTGTGGTTATATTTCATCACCGTTGCTAACAGCTACGTAGTGCTTGGTGGTTGAAAAAAATGCAGAAAAAAAAACAAGTTTCACGGATTGTAATCAAACGTAATCATGTTATTTGCGATTTATATTTTTTTAAGATTTTGTAACAATTTTATAATACATCACTATATTATATTATTGTGTTTTTTCTTATATAAGATTAGTGACCCAGCCTTATATGTGTTTTTAATTGTAGAATTATGTGTTTTGTAGATTTTTAGGGGTAAAATACAGCTGTTTTTTATCTCTAAAATAGCTATGCAAGCACGTATGTCATAATGTCTACAAAATCATCGGTATGCAATTTATCTTTACGTCGAATTTATTTATTACTAGCTGTCCCGGCAAACGTTGTATTGCCATATAAATTAATAACGCTATAAAAAAATAGGGGTTGGTGGTAGAAGGGTGAAAATTTAGGATTGTATGTATTTTTGTATGTTGTATCATAAAAAAATTGAAACTAAAAATTTTGTCTATAAAATAAAGAAAATAATTTAGGGGTTGACTACCCCTAATATTTAGGGGGATGAAAAATAGATGTTGGTCGATTCTCAGACCTACTCAATACGCTCACAAAATTTCATGAGAATCGGTCAAGCCGTTTTGGAGGAGTATGGGAACGAAAACTGTGACACGAGAATTTTATATATAAGATTGCACGTACATAATGAATTTTGAATATATTAAATTAATAATACACCACGAATGCGGAGGTGTAGAGGACACGCCGCAACACACGCTGGAAGAATGTCCAGCGTTCGCGAGTGAGCGCGATCTTTTGAAGATTTTCCACACGTTAAAAAAAAAAAGGTCCTATATAGTCAACAATGTCCTGCTTATATAATAGGTTATTCATAAAATTATATTTTATGAAAATTATATACAGATATATATATACGTTAGCACGGATAGAATTTTCAAAAAATACCCATTACAAAAAACTAATGTTAGGTACCTTTTTACACTATTTTACGTGAAGTCTCGCCCTTACCATGGCCCACGCGAAAGATCCTTTTGCCTATCTGACATTTTCATTTTTGACCTTATACTAATGTCATGTCTCAGTTTACGAAACCGCAGTTATTTCATTCCTGTTTGGTCCTTTGGGCATTGCATTTTGACATTATAAAAAATTACTGCTTGCTGATGTATTTTAAGGGGAGAGATGTGAATAAATGCTAAGAAGAATAACGAAGGAATGTCAACTGCCATATAAAAGTTGTGCCACATAAACTACTCTGGTTTTGACAGTTCCTTTGGTTCTTTGTTTCTAACAGTCTCAGTTGTTTAGCGGATTAGCACACTGATTTATTTCAGATAGTGGCGGGTTCATTTCCTCTCACAGTACAAACATTTGTATTCATCTGTGTGATTGTTTGTATAGGTCTGAGTATTTTCTATATATATCATCTATGTTAAAAAATCTAAGTATTTATGTCAGTTGTCCAGTACCCACAACACAGGCTCTGCTAAGTTTCTGGGGTTATTACTATTAATATTAATTAGGAAAAAAGTGATAATAATATGTTTGCTTGTAATGGATAAACCAAAAATATAATTGCCATATATTAAAAGTTCTTTTACATATGGATATTACATTATATGTAATAATAATAAACACTCTATTCTAAACGTAACTAATTTTAGTGTATTTGATCACCCGAGAGTTAAGCATATTTGGTATAACGTTAATAATTTCTTAAATGTAGACCAGCTGACAGTGAGATAGAGTTTCAACTGGTATCATAAGGGTAACCTTGTACCTTTTTGGTTTAGAAGTAAAAAAAAATAACTATCAAATTTGTCCTGAAATCAACAAAACTATCGCGAGATGAAATCTGCTGACTATCGCAGTTCCTTTTTTAAAACAAAAACAACATTAAAAACATTATCCACCCCCCAAACAGTATCGTATAAGAATCTTTCAATATTAAAAGCATATAGGACCGATCAGATTTGCATAATCAATTTTACGACGGTCTGTTTGTTCAATAAAACCAAGTTTATCGGGTTCCGTGAGGGGCCAGTCACGTAAATGGCAATAGAATAAAATCATCCTAGAAAAAAGTAACCGAAGGTAATATTCGTCGATTCCTGAGGATACTTGAAAATATCCTAGAAAACTGGCCATTCACACAACCAACCGTCACGTCGGGACATTCAATCGAAGGTCAACTAAGTTCAAATAGTTCATACCCGCCATATTATATAACTATAGATATTTGAGCGAAATATCCAATATCTATAGATATATGACGGCATCGGTGGTCTAGCAGTTTAGCACACCGCCTTACTTTCAATGGTAGCGGGTTCTACTCCTCGTATGATAGAAATATTTGTATTCATGAGTATGATTGTTTATATCGATCTGGGTGTTCTATATATAATATGTATGTTTTTATAATAAAAATACATCTATCTGAATATATCTTTTCACTAAATGCATATGAAAATATATACGGTGCTTACATAAATGTATATATTAAAAATATATCTGTCTTTCTGTTTATCCTTATTGGTTACTGAAACGACCGTACTGATTTTGAAGAGACTTTCACTCACATGTAACTAAAGATTAGTTATATAAGGAGTAACTTGGCTTTATTAAAAAAAAATATTTTGATAAAAAAGTGAAAGACTAATTTGCGGGTAACATCCAATATAATAATAATAGCCTTGGACAATTCACTAAACGGTAAGCAGAGCTTGTGTTATAGGTACTAGACTACTGACAGATATATTTAGATATTTTTATATAAAAAATAATACAGAACAATACCAAATTTCCAAAATAAAATAAAGCATTTTGAAATGAAACTTTTCTCAATGATCCTCTTTCAATATTCGCATAATCCAGATAAAATATATTTATCCAATTCTATAACTTGCCTCCGCGATCGAATATAAAGTTTTACCCTTTCAAATAATATGCACACAGGGAACGTATTTGCGAAAGGTATTTCTCCCAAGGCGCTCTACGTTTTTATGTATCATACACTTTATAACGGGAAATAAGGAAATAAGGGAAATAAGGCCTTCTGACACAGTGCCTAATATGATTTTAATAGAAAAATGCTTACTCCTTCGTCATTATGTAGTTTAGTTTAGTGCTGCCTTGGGAAATAGGACGCCTTAAGGCCTTCTGAGACAGTGCCTATTATGATTTTAATAGAAAAATGCTTACTCCTTCGTCAATATGTAGTTTAGTTTAGTGCTGCCTTGGGAAATAGGACGCCTTAAGGCCTTCTGAGACAGTGCCTAATAATATTTTAATAAAAAAAATGGTTACTGCTTCGTCGTTATGTAGTTTATGCTGCCTTGGGAAATAGGACGCCTTAAGGCCTTCTGACACAGTGCCTAATATGATTTTAATAAAAAAATGGTTACTCCTTCGAATAAACTACATAACAACCGTGCCTAATATGATTTTAATAAATATATAATTTTTGTGTGTTACCGAAGGAGTAACCAAATTATATTTTTTTATTAAAATCATATTAGAATAGAATATCTCAACACAATAAAAACGATGCTTTTAGCTGCATATAAATTATTATATAAGTACTATTTATTCTGAATCAATCTATCTATTGGGAAATAAGGACGTTGCCTTAAGGAACACACAGCGCCGGCGACTTTTGACACAGTGCCTAATATGATTTTAATAAAAAATGGTTACTCCTTCTTCGTTATGTGTATCATATATTAAAAAAAAACCGTTTCCTATTTAAAAAAATCAAAATCCGTTGCGTAGTTTTAAAGATTTAAGCATACATAGAGACGGACAGACAGCGACAGCGACTTTGTTTTATACTATGTAATGATACTTACTTTATAAAAAAATGCAAATTATTATTATCAAATTTTATTTTATTTAATTAATTATAATATCTTTATTATCTAATATATATATATATATATATATATATAATATTATAATTAACAATGGGCGGCCTTATCGCAAAACAGTTCTTCCAGACATGCGTAGGAGGTATGATTTCTTTCAGACAACCTTACAATAGACAGAAGTGGTTAAACTTGCGTCTAGTCGAGGGTGTAACAAATTAGCACTACCAAGAAAACTAAATTTAATCTACCTATAACCTTTAAAATAGAACATTATGTTATAGCATGATAAGATATATTTTTAATCGAATTAAGAATTGATTACGTTTTATATGTAAGTATAATACGAGTTTGTAAAATAAACGCATATTATTTATGTTTTATGTTTCACTGGCGCTTAACTAGATCACGTCTTAGATTATTGTAAATAGAGAGACAACGAGTTTCCATTAATAAATATAAGAAAAAAAAGTTCTTTAAAAAAATAAAGCTACTTTCAAAGACACTTCTTTAAGGTACTGGAATAACTGTTGATAAAAATATACTATTGAATGCTTACATTAAATAACTCAAATATGTTTTTATATCTTTTAATGGCCGATATAGCAAGAAGGCACAGACGTATAGCCTCATCTTCTATAAAAAAATTGAAGTCTTAGTAACTCAATTATAAATATAAAACCTGGTAACAATAACTAAATCAAAAGCTAATGTTATAGACATAAAAAAATTGTTTCAAAATTTTACAGACAGATTTTTTACAATTTGGTTGTCAAACGTCAAATTTATGCGCCATTTTGTGTGCGTGAAGAAAAAATTAAGTTTAAATAATAGTATATTGTAAATAATTTAATTGTAAAAAATTAAATTATTACTATTATGTAATATCTATAATTATATTATTATTATTTTCAGATATCTACACCAATTTATCTTTGGAAATTTGACAGATTTATTATGACCTGATCGTCAAACTTCAAAATTACGCGCCATTTTATGAGTACGAAGAAATAAATGAAATTTAATTTACGTTTAAAATAATACCGTAAATTAAATATTTTTTTATTACTGTTACGCAATGTCTATAATTATCTATATTCTTATCTTTTTTAGAAATAAGTAAAAATATATTTCGAATTTTGACTGATTTGTTTGACTTTTAGACACGATATAACTTCAAAATTACGCGCCATTTTGTGAGCGCGGAGCTTTAACAAAACTCACTTCC